CGGCTTTTTGTTGTTGTTCAGGAGTTGATCCTGTCTCTTCCCCCGCCTCGACGTAAGCGTGACGTATGCGGTGCTTTTGCTCTGGCCGGAAAAAATGTTGGTGCTTGAAACAAACCGGATTCCGGAGCTAAGAGGCTACTTCGCTGCGGTTTGAACACGAAAACCCGGTGCTTTTCAAGCTCCAGCTCCGAACCGGCCCTGAAACACCGTTGGTGTGAATGAGGTAATAATGACATCACCAGGGAACACTTGCTCTTCTATTGGCTAACTCGACCAACACATTATACGTGATAGATTAAAGTGCGGGACATCTCTAGTGGTTGACCAATCACAACAGAGCTGGCCAGCTAACCAATCAGAGAAGACTGGGCTCTGGTTTTCAGCACACAGGGTGAAAAGAGGTCTGCAGCACAGGCAGTATGAGAAAAAGAGCTTCTGAACATTAAAGCATGAGAACATATCACAGTAGAGACACTTATACAAATATGAACCCACGAAGGGGCGGGAAGGTATTTTGAGTGGGGGTGCTCAGGTGCTGACTCCAGTGAACACTATAGAGAACAGCAGTGACGCATCGGAAAACCGAAGTAACTTCTTCACGAGTTCCTTCGCAAAAAACCAATGCAAATCTCCATAGGATTTTGGATAAATAGTCGAATAAGGCTCCTGGTGGTGACACACATTTAAGAAGGGATCACGGTTTTGTTCAGCCGGATACTCTCCACAATTCACACCTTACTTTTATAATTTTGAACAATAAATCTAGTCGCCAAAAGCTAAATCTAAACGTTAGATGCTATAAAACGAATCTAACAAGCCAGTAACAGCAGCAAGGGTCGCACGACTCAACGTCACGCCAACTTAAGATCGTTTCAACTGACTTGCACTGAAACTGCATATTGAACACTTTAAACTATAGTTAACATTTTAAACTGATACCCCGTTATCAAGCCGTTTTCTATTTAATGGTATACCACGTTTATCTAGGCCCTTTTGTTTATGTATACATGTCACACGGGGAAACGATATTCGAATGTATTATCTGGATGTATACACACATGTAAGATTTTTGACAATAAAGGCTTGAATTGACTTTCGCGTGCTTGCATATTCTAACAAAGCCTTTCATTTTAGCCACTACTGAATTAACTAGAATCTAGGCGTGTGTCAATTACGCAGTCTGATATCGTTTTACAAAAGATGACAGAAAGAGTGTAATTACAGGAGAGAAACAACTACAAAGTCCCAGGACACTTACAGTGCAGCCAGATGAAAGGTGTGTTTACGTTACCCGGTGTTGTCAGGGCTAGCATTGGAGGGACAAGGCTTTATAGTGCGCGTCGGGAGCTAGTGGACTAGCAAGGTAACCTGTTAACCTTTTAAGACCGAGTTAATTATTGCACATTAATTCCCATCAACAAATCAATGTAATGTGTCAACATGAAATCCTTTATTAGAAGCAAGGGCAATTATTTATATTAGCACTTTTCAAAACGAAAGGCATTCAAAGTGCTTTACAAAAAAGAAGACATTAAGAAATGGCATGTAAAATCAGTCATTAAAAAAGAAAAGATAATAAATAAACATACTTAAAAGAAAAAAACATGGACTACAAAGTTACATGCAGTCTAGAGATCCCCACTCACGAAAAAAAATAGTCAATTAAGAGCAGCGACAAAAAAAAAAAATCTTTTCAGCCGGATTTAAAAAGTAGTAAGAGTTGCAAGCGACTGCAGGTCTGGGAGTTTTTCCCAGATATTTGGGAGCATAATAACTGAATGCTGCTTACATCCGTTCTTAGTTCTGACTCTGGGGACAAACTCGACCATCCTGAAGACCTGAAACGATCTGATGTCCATAATTTAGCAGGAGGTCAGAAATGCATTTTGGTCCCTAAACCATTCATGCTTTATAAACACGCAAGCATATTTGAAATCTATTCTTTGACCACACAGGAAGCCAGTGTAAAGACTTCAGAACTGAGCGATGTGATCCTCTTTCTCTAGTGTTAGTAAAGGACTCGAGCAGCGGTGTTCTGAATCAGCTTGATGCAGCTTTCTAATGATTTTTAAGTGAGACCTGTGAAGACACCCATTGCGAGTAGCCACTACTGAAGATAAACAGCATGGAAACTTTTTCCAAATCGCTGCTGTGACATTAGTCTTTTAATCCTAGATATGTTTTTTAGGTATAGTAAGCTGATAGGTAAACTGTGTTTAATGTGGAACTGTTGAAACCATACTAATTTCACCCGCCTGACAAGAGAGCCCCACTCTCGAAGATCGTGACTGGCTGAGGGACCAGACTCGGGGCAGGTTCTCAGGCAATTTTTGGCTTCTCTCGCCCGAGGCCAGAAGAGGAAACCACTACAGCTTGGAAAACACCACTTACGTTCCTGGAAATTATCAAATGTTGGGCATCAGGGACCTGAGGCCAATTGGGCAACGCATGGAATTGTCTGAAGAGCCAACAGAGGGCAATTCAGGGGCTACCACTGGTCCAGCGAACCAACCCAAAACTGGCACTGTTCAGCGAAAGGAATGGGGTGATGCCAGCAACTTTTGGAGCTGTCTGAGGGTCAACGAGCGCGTGACTGCTTTCCTTTTATCCAGCGGTCGCTAAGGCAACAACAGGCCCTTGGATGTTTTGTCTGTACAAGTGGGGCACTATGAATGAATGTGAGGCGCGTCAAGGCGCATCACACTCTGCAACTCAGCCATGCAGGTCCACTGAGTCAGATTTGGCTCTCCTAAAATCAGGACCTCTTGGGGGCATCTCCGATGGTCCTGGTAGGCAGTCTTCACGCTGTGCTGGAGTAAAGTTGTCCTACGGAGCCAGGGAAATGAAAATATATTGAAGCATGTGCAAATCAAGGGCTCTTTGTCCACTAAAAGGAAAACATTCAGCCTGGCATTGGGAACACGTCCTTACTGGCACCAAGTGCAAGGTCAAACTTCACTCACTAGCAAGGAAGAAAATAAAAAAATTGTGGAATCGTTTTTAATTAACATTACTCGCCTTCTGCAATGTGTGGTTGTTAGGTGTTAGGATTTCCTGTCAGCTCCTGTTGGAAGATGAATAAAATATAGTTTCATGGAAGTCACACGATCACATATACGTAAAGCATTAAGACATACAGTACATAGGCTAAAACAAAACATCTAAAGATATAACCTTGCACTTTGGAATAAGTCGGTGAACATCTTTCACTATTTTTGACATTTTCATAGATGAAATATTGAACTAAAGAATAAACGTGGTACATTAATCATAATGAAAATAGGTCAGCGCACACTAATTATCAATAGTTTACATATTATTCTTAATTAATTAAACGAAGAATACTGTATTGATCCCAATTGGGAAAATGTTTGTGTGAGCAGCATAACAAGAAAAACAAAAATATAAGTTATTATATATACACAAAGTATGTGAAGGAATGGAATATTCAGAATTGAATATAAATGTAAAATTACATGTGATTTTACGTCCAAGGAGAAGCTACTGACGGCAGACAGTTCTCTGCCCAGCCAGGGTGATTTTTTATAGTTCAATCATGTAAACTGATCCCTGACACAATCCTTTAGTTAACATGGTGAAACGTTATGCTTCTTGTACTAAATACAACGACTTTTTCATATAGCCACACAGGTTTTAATAGGAGTAATCATCATCTTACCTTATTTGCGGCTCTTTTCAAGCAGCGCCATCTCTAATTGCGATACAGCACATCATTATTACATCACCAGTGACATGACAAAAATGGTAACCAGCAGCTTACCCTCATGGCACGAATCCCAGACTCTCCTTTGGAAAACATTGGCCGGCGAAACGATAGTAACAAGCACAGTTTCATGCGATAGACCTGTGCTTGCAACCCGGAGCAAAGCAACAAACCATTGCGAGCCTAATCTAGTAAGCGCTAGCTTAGCTAACGTTAGCCAACGAAACGCTGACGGTAAATTTGGAAAAACACTGTAATTAATGATTCTATAATTCCGGTACAAAAAAGAAAAAAAAAAAAATTGTGAAAACTACCGTGTTAAAAACCGACAATTTCAAAATACAATTCCAATGTCAGATATAGATATACATTATACTGAACAGATAGGGCAAGGTATGTTTCAAGCAGAACAACAGGGGAAAACAAACTTAGCGGAAGTGTTTTACGTGTTCGGCGTAATGACGTAAACGCCTCCGACAATTTCTGTAGTCCATTCAGCCATTCGGTAAACCAACATCGTNAACGCAACCCTTGTGTCCATATCTTTCTGTTTTGGTGGTCATGCCACAACCGTGCATGCATGCGCGAGTCATAGTGAGTGTCTGCATTTTGGGGGGGGGGGGCGCCAGCTAAAATCTTGCCTAGGGCAGCAAATTGGTCAGGGCCGGCCCTGGGTCTGGCGCGTGAGTCAATCAATCAATCACATTTTACCAACGTGCCACTCACCCATTTTTTTTTTTTTTTTTCCTTCAACACTTTATTGAACAACAATTTCTATCATCAAAGAAAAGGCACAATTTTTAACTGAACATTACTTAGTAAAATAACATGCATATTTTAGCTTCAAACCTGTAAATGTCTGAATTTCAAAACATTTTTGATAAAAAGAACTATCTTCTTAATTTGCATTTTGTATTGATGTGACTGTAATGCACCAAAAATCCTTGATTTAAAATTGATGGTTAGAAGGATGAGTACAGTGGAGGTGAGTTGATGGTTTTAACAAGTGAGGCTTAGTGTTTGTACCATTTATTACCACAACTTAAAGACAATTAGCCAAATCTGACATATAAATATGATTGATGGAAAAACTACAATATTCAGTACACTGACCCAATATATAGTCTACCTCGGACAGGAAATAATCCTGCACGTGTTTTATAATTTCTAACACAAATCCATGTTTCCTGTTTTCAATGTTTTACAACTATGCACATTGAGTTGGTTTTAATACAATTAATTTAAGAAAATTGATCTGCAGTTTACATATTAAATAAATTCAAACTGGCAGCTCACCAGTTTTCACGTTTTATTAAATTGAACCCCAAAGAGAACAGCAACAGATAAGCTTATCGATACCGTGCTGTCAAGCTGATCCTGAATCAGTAACACAGAAAAACATCGGCTGAAATAGAGACAAAGCTTCAATGATCTCAAAAGTGTCTGCATTTAAAACCATGTGGAAATAAATGATGAACTCAGTCATATGGATCAATAATTTTGTCCACTTTAAGTGTTGCATACTTGACTTCTAATTTATTCGTCTGTCCAATTAGATTTTATTTATGTATTTACAGTTACAGATAGGATTGCAATTTTGTATGATAAAATGGTCAAAAACTGGAACAAAAATAATAAGATATTTGTACCTTGTTTTAATTTTCATAAATACAATACACTTGAGTCCTTGCAGGAGCCAAAGTCTTTGGTTGAGAACCACTAAATTAAACCATTTGATCTTGGAAGGAAAATAAACAATAGACAGTACTGTGTGTGAAATAAAAGCAGATGCCAAATTACATAATATTTTGGGTCATGGTAAGTAGAAATCCTGTAGGCAGTATTTAATGGAAAGTTATTGCAGTTCCCACATCTCACCTGCAAGTGTCAGTAAAATGTCATTTAACAGCTGATTTGAGTGTTTCTCCATAAAGCAGCTTGGAAATTAACTTGTAGAATTAGATGTCGCCCGACAGAAGTTTCATGTATGTTATCTCTGTATCTACATCTATGTCTGCGGCTAGGTTTAAATTATTGTGAGTCCAGCAGAATCTCTAACCGTTTTCATAATAAAAGCAGGCCATCTTGCTGCTGCCCGTCTCCCTGGAAGGATTACTGTTTAGTCTTTGAGGCTCCATGTTCCACTCAGGTGCGGCCTTCGTGGTTGAGCGAGGCTCTCTCCATCCGTCTGTACCAGGGTTTGACCTTGGAGTTCTTCATCATGTCGTCAAACGCCTCCAGGCCCTCCATCACTCTGAGGACGCCGAACACCGCCTGCAGAGGGGGGCAAACGGGGGAAAATATGAATGACAAGGTGCAGTGAGGTTGTGAGGATTATGAAACACCAAAAACCAAAACTGCTTGTAAAAATGTCAAGTTTAAGGTGCCAAAATAAAGGTAATTGGGTAAATAAAACAAGTTTTCCTAGCTTAATTACTAAATATAGGTATATATTAAAGACATTAACTATTCCTGTTTACATCACAGTTTACTCATTTTTCAGCATGTGTAAACCTGTATACCACAAATTAGGGTGATTACTTATTTGGTGGGTTCTGTTTTTAGAATGTTAATATTTGTACATGTATTATGGTAACCTTTCTTTTGTTAGTAGAAAAATGCCCTAAGAGTTTTATAAACGAGACCCCAGGACACTAGACACTCACTAGGTCTGCAAGGTTGGGCTGATCTCCGCCCATGAACTTCCTCTTCTTGCCGATGGCTGCCACCCAGTCGTTGACGGCCTTGTACAGATCCTCCCTGACGTCATCCTGCAGGTTGTGTCTGTTTTGAAATAAAAAAGGAAATTAATCACTATTTTGACATCCAATAGAAGTCTAAACTACTAAAAGCCGCAACCTGAAACCTTTCCACCTCACAAGGGAGATGCAGTTCCTCATGTTAAAGAATAACCTCAGTTTCAAAAAGAGGCCCCATTATGCTTTTGGGGGTTTTCCCTTCCCTGTAGTGTGTTTTATATTTTTTGTGCATGTAAATGGTTTGTGAAGATAAAATCCAAAAGTTCCCCCTCTGCCTGAAACGCCTCCATTGTAGTCCTATGTTTACTTCCATAACATAAGAGCATCTCTATGTAATTTCACGATTCTATTGGCTAGCGCTCCAACACATTGTACGTGATATGCTAAGGGTTGGACATCTCCAAGTGGTTGACCAATCACCACAGAGCCGGCCAGCTAACCAATAAGAGCAGACGGGGCTCTGGTTTCAGACAGAGGGTGAAAAGTGCTGCAGCACACACAGTATGAGAACAATAAAAGAGCTTTTTGAACATTAAAAAGGTCACCTATCATGCTATTTCTAGGCAATAGCATAGGTCTCAGATTATAAAAAAATATAAAAAACATGTCTATGAAGTGTTTGGATCAAAAAAACAAACAGATCACCCATTCTAGCCATGCCTCATATCCCTCTATTTTTCTTCCTGTTACAAAAGTGCTGATTCTGGGTATAAAGCTTTTTTTTTTTTAACTGAAAAAGATTAAAATAAGAGGGGGCGGAGCTTATGCAGGCTCCTGGCAGATACTGTCTAAAATGCTGCGGTGATGAAACGCAAGGATCATTAGATCAAGGATTATTTCTGAAACAGTATGGAGCTCAAAGGCGTTCTCTCTTGCCGGTTATACCACAAGGTGAGTTCCTTTTTATATCCTGCTTCTTCGGGCTTAACTCTGAGTGTTAGCCATGCTTGCTAATGTAAACAAAAACTATTACGTCCAAAACACGTCGGGAATTGTTTCTGATACAGCAACGTTTCTGATAGTGCCGTGGGTCCGTCATGTCTGATGGCAAATCTGGATCAGCTCCGTTGTACCCCAGTTTTTAGAGATTTGCGCACGGAGGAAAAGAGAGAGGGTTTTATTTTCTGACACTTTGTGAGTTCCCTGACACACCGGGGACACATATTTATGTACAGTGGGGCAAAAAAGTTGTTAGTCAGCCACCAATTGTGCAAGTTCTCCCACTTAAAAAGATGAGTGGCCTGTAATTTTCATCCTAGGTATACCTCAACTATGAGAGACAAAATGAGAAAAAAAAAAATCCAGAAAATCACATTGTCTGATTTTTAAAGACTTTATTTGCAAATTATGGTGGAAAATAAGTATTTGGTCAATAACAAAAGTTAATCTCAATACTTTGTTATATACCCTTTGTTGGCAATGACAAGAGGTCAAACGTTTTCTGTAAGTCTTCACAAGGTTTTCACACACTGTTGCTGGTATTTCCAATCCCAAAAAACTATTTTCAATCTTTTCTACCCTCTTGGACCCCCCCAAAGCCCCTCCTCCCTTCTGTCAAGCGACTTTGTTAACCACTTTGAAAAAAAGGTTGATGATATTCGCTCTTCTTTTTCTGACTCACCTTTACTGACCGCTGGGTCACCAGACCCTCCCTTCACCCACACACTAACCTCCTTCTCCTCTCTCTCTCCAAGTGAGGTTCTTACACTCGTCCTCTCTGCCCGTCCTATCACCTGTCCTCTGGACCCTATCCCCTCTAACCTCCTTCAGACTATCGCTCCTGACATTCTACCGTTTCTCACCCATTTCATCAACACTTCTCTAACTTCTGGTCACTTTCCAAACAGTCTCAAGGAGGCAAGAGTAAACCCTCTCCTAAAGAAACCCACTCTCAACCCGTCTGATGTTATAAACTACAGGCCTGTCTCTCTCCTCCCGTTCCTGTCTAAAACACTTGAACGCGCTGTCTTTAAACAACTCTCCTGTTATCTCCATCAGAACAACCTTCTGGATCCGCACCAGTCTGGTTTTAAGGCAGGTCACTCAACAGAAACTGCTCTCCTTGCTGTCTCTGAGGAACTGCACACCGCTAAAGCAGCATCCCTCTCCTCTGTCATCATCCTTCTGGACCTGTCTGCTGCATTCGACACGGTGAACCATCAGATCCTCCTTCGCACTCTCCAAGAACTTGGAGTTTCAGGCACTGCACTTTCCCTCCTCACCTCATACCTCAAAGACCGCACTTACAGGGTAACTTGGAGAGGGTCCGAGTCCGACCCTTGTCAATTAACTACAGGGGTCCCTCAGGGCTCTGTTCTTGGTCCCCTCCTCTTCTCCTTGTACACAAACTCGCTCGGATCTGTCATTAGCCCGCATGGTTTTTCATACCACTGCTACGTCTCCGGACGTGACACCTTTTTTCAACTAAGTTCTGTCCTTTATCCGCCGCTAAGAAGACCCTCAATTTTTCGTCATTCGGCACCTGCATTCTCTGCTTGTCTCTATGCTGACAATCTCCCAGTGGAATTGCTGCTCATCACACTTGTTCAAGTTCTCAACCTTGACCAAGCATTATCATTAGTCATTTTACATTTGGCATTTTAAAGGCTGACCGGCTTTTATTCTCAAAGTCGACCTTACATATTATATGTGCATTCGATTCAAGTGAATGATACGCAATTATTGAAGAAAGCTTCGACAGAATCATCTAATACGTTGTAGGCTACTCAGTGTTTCATTATAGAGGCTGCAAACATTTCAAGTGCGCGTATGCCAAAAACTGGGCTTTAGATAAGCCTAGTTCTGTCCTATTAGCTATATTAAGGGTTCTGTTTGTTAGGTAAATTAATTCGTTCCTCACTCTTGACCTAGACAACTCAATCATCACAGTCGCTTTCTTCGTGTGTTTCTCCGGCATTCTCGAATCAGACCTGCAAGGAATTCCTGGGTGGATCCTAGATACCTTCTACATAACTGTCGCTTTCACGTGGCAAAAGTCATTTGCCTGGTCTACAACTATTTCGGCTGGCTGGGGGCAGATAGCATTGCCTTACAACAATCTATGAGGGATTAACTGAAGTTGCGCTCATGCAAGCCTGACCCAAGAAAAACCTGCGCAGGTTCT